AATTCTGAAAGGTTAACTTTTGGCTGGTATTTCATACCCGAGAGAATCACAAAATCTGCCAATATGCAGTCAACCTCATTTAAGTAAACACACCACCTTCTCTTTCTTCCAACTTTTCTCTCTTGGAAAATGTCATACAGGTTTTTAACCACATACTGAACTTGACATTCTGTTTTAACAATGCATCCAGCCTGCATCACAAAAAATTTGGATAATAGTGGGAAACAGATGAGAGTTTAAATCTTTTAAAAAAGGGTACACTACACATAATGTAAACTGTCTGTTGGTCCCTTGCAGCATGCCTAATGACAAGGTAGTCTCAGTAACATATTAACTACAGTATATGATGATATATATCAAGTTTGGGATTCCATCAACTCGTTGCATAATAAGAATAATGACATACATACAACCTTTTTGTACAACTTTTATTTACAACTTTCACATGTCATTAAATGGATGTATACAATATTATGGATTCCAGTGGAGTGAAAAAAGCAATCATTAAATGACATGCAAGGTTGTATGAAAAAGTTGTATAAAAAAGTTGTCCCTTAATAATTTTCCACATAATAAATGCTTGATCATTTCTGCTATTGCCATGGTTTCCATATTGAAAGTCATCTTAGGCACTCCATATAATAGGAATGCAAGATAAAAAAGAACAGTATATAAACATATAACTTGCTAAGTAAAATGATGTATCAAGTTAAAGAGAATTTGCCTGGATAGCTCATAGAAGATAATTTTTGTCAGTAGAATTCTTGGCATTATAAGGACAGCCAGTGAGATAATTTCCACAAGCTATGCAGTTAACCCATATTTTGAAACTTCACACTTGTTGGTAGTTCTTCAAGTCAAAATTCGTGCTTAACTTCATTGAATCTTCACAATATTCTTCTTCTGTTTGATCTCCAACTATTTGCTTCATTACTTTAGCAATAGGAAACCTGACGGGAATGCTTTGAATTCCCAACATGGAGGCAGCAGAAGCTTCACAACTATCCCAATCACATTCCCATTCCTTTGGCCATTTTGAATTTCTTCTTGCACAAACTGGGGTCGACTGCATTACTCCTGCATTCACTAGTGAACCTTCACCAAGCCCACAAGCTACTGCTGCTAAAGAATTATTTTGTTCATACATCTACAATTTCATAAAACAATCATTGTAGTTTCAATTCATGGTAAAAAGTATAATTAAAATCAGGTTCACGGCTTATGTTATAACTTGAACATGATCTTGCATGCACTGATTAGATACAGATACTTGTACAATAAAATCACTCCAGAAAATAATTTATGCCACCCTCAGTTCTGGCTTCAAGCAACTAGATATTCTATTAGTCCAAGATTTCTTTCATGTGTACAGCATTATCAAATCCTTGCTTTCATGGTAATGCAATATGGGGGAGCAACAGAGTAAAGAAAGAAAGCAGGAATAGAGAATTACCATCCTTAGGGCCAAAACTGACACCTAGGTTCCAATTCTCCATCCTGACAGCTGACATGATCTTTAAACTGTCTTTAGGAAAATCATCTCCTTCCCATCTTCGACCCTTCTCTATTAGACATTCCTGTATTCCTGCCAGTGACAATCGAGAAGCAGCTATTGAACCGCCATATCAAAACCCCACAACAACCACATCAAAACCATCTTCTCCATCACCTAGTCTTTGTTGTAAATGAACTTGTTTCTCCATTTCTAAGAATTTTAGAACTGAAAGCTTGCGGGCATGCTCACCGTGGCCTATTAGCATGTATTGCTAACAAAGGAAAAAACTGTGCAGAACTTTGGTTTCAGAGTCAGTAAATTTATAGAAGAATAAAATGTGCCCTAGTAGTTTCTGGATACTCCACCCTGTCCTTTAATTTGGTTCAGTAACTTCTGCTATATAGCATTGTTTCATTTTGAAGAATCTTGGGCAATCAAATAAAGATATGCAAACAATAAATATTACCTAGTCCACCAGTTTAATGATCCTACACAAAATGCAGTTACCATATTATTCATAGAAGATACATCCAAATTAAAGGACGGCATCAAATTATTCCACAGTTTAAATACATGCATAACTTCTGGAGAATAAGCATAACATGCGATGAGACCAGGGCCAAAATCTTTTGGTGATAAATAAATTATTTACACTATTAATAGATACCGTATTCAAAGAAAAAATACTATTAATAGATTCCATTTTGATATATATTAATAAAATGTTAAAATTATATAAGGAGGCTAAAAAAGTTAAAAGTCTCACTGCATCTCAAACAAGACTTTTTTTTTTTTCAAACTCTAGCAATTTCAACTGACATCTGCAGAGCTTGAAGAAGACTTCTCATGATCCTTGGCTCACCAGGAGGTGACTTATCTTTTAAGGGACCATTTCTTATGGCACGAAACATTGGACCTAAACCGCCAGTTGCTGGATAAACCAAGCAATCAATATACACAAGGACCTGTGTCTTTCCATCTTCAACTGTAATGAAACCCAATCTAGCTCCACCTGGTATTTTATCAACCTGTTCAATATCAAGAGAACTAACTTATTTGAAGTCCAAGATCCATAAGAATAATCGTGTGTAATTTCATATGGTTAAAATAAATAAATAAATAAATAATAATAATAAAACAACAACAACAACAACAACAATCCTAGATGAGGACAAATCTAAATTTTACAAGTATGAATTCTCGAAAGGACATGCAAATCAATATATAGCCCAGCTAACCAGAAAATAACAAGTAAACATGGAATAATGATAGAGATTTAATAATTATGTGAATGCACATTAACATGCTTGTATGACATATTCGAAATTAAAAGTCACAAAATCATGAAACTAATTAAAAACATAATGACACACCTTTAAAGGCACGGGAAGTGGCAGATTAGCACCTTGACAGAGACTGTTGGCCCACTGTCATACACAAAAAAGAGCAAAAATATCAAGAATCAATTATCAATCTAAATCAAAGAAAAACGCTCAATCCTACACCTTACCACAAAATATAATGAGAAATTGATAGAAACATGGTATTTTTTTCAAAATCAAGGTTTTGAAGTCAGTCATGCTTGTGCTACCTTGGCTAAACTCTTGTTGCTAACATATATTATTCTAAGTTCTCTACCTTCTATTTAGCACTAAATGAAGTAGACTGAAATTTTATAGTAGGGAGAATGGCAAAATGAATGAATTGGACATTAGCAATGTGCTGTCTTCATTTGGAAATATGCATCGATCCATACCTCAGATATAAAACCATCATTGAGCTTATTTTATTTCATCTTCATCATCTTGGTTATAGGAATGCTAGATCATAAGAATAAAATATGTTTCATGTAACAATCATGACATCTCCCTACAAGAATGTTTCTTGATTTGATTTACAATTTAAAGTGCCCCAATTAGTATACACCCTTATTCATTGAAAATCAATTAAGTTGGTAGATGACAAAAAGAATAATGACTAAAGGATCTTAGGTAGGCATGCACAGGGACAAAGTATTCGGAAAAAAATTTACTACGCTAGAAGGAGGGCTTGAACCTCCGACCTTGTGGTTAACAGCCACACGCTCTAACCAACTGAGCTATTCCAGCTTTATTAGTGTGTGGAATAAATTAACTTTTATATACGCTATGTTTCCATAAATGGTTCTTTTTTCTGTTTAGCAGCTTTGTTGTAGCTAGCATGATAATAGCTAAAGCATAAAACTTGATTATTGCAGCAATAAAACTTGATTAATTAAAAATGAATTTAGATAGTAATTTAAATAATAATAATAATAAGTACCTGGAACAGCAGACTTTCAAATCTCTGAATGTCAGTATTGGAAGGCAATTTCATTGTACCAAGAGAGACCCCGTCTTCTGGGTCATCGGAGGGCACAATGCCTTCATTTTCAGGCGAAGCCTTGGCCACTGAACTCAGATTCCGGTGACCCCCACTAGTCAGTTTGCAAAGCGGCTTACTTTTGTAGCTTTCACCCACGAGGAATCCTACTGGTGAGGGGGCAATACCTAGAGGGTAAGAAAGTTGAGCATGGGGAACGGCCACCTTGGGGCGGAGGAGCTGCCTCACGGCGGTGGTCATGAAGATTGTGACACAGAGAAGATGAAGAACCAGGCAGTGGATGAGAGTAGGATGCGTATAACTATAAGAGGTGGGGAATTGCGGTCGGACTGAATCTCGAGCCGTCCAATTGCTATCCGACATGTCAGCATTTTAGCCATATCCAAAACAACATGCCGTTGCCTTTGGTCGTGTCAGGAGAGGCTGAAGACAGAACAGCGTGGAAGAGGTAAGAGTATTGAGATTAAATTGTATTAGGCTGTAAAATATGATTATTAAATGAAACAATTTGCATCTATGAACAATGGCCCCTCATTATTCAAAAATTAATGTATAATTAATATTTTGCAATTTGATCTGTAAAATTATTTATTTATTTTTGAAGAAATGACTTTCCATTTCCATTTTCTAATTAGTGTTTCTCTAGCATAATGTCGACTATGAGACTTCGACAGATTTATCTAACAACTTCGACAAGACTTCCTTCTAAAAGTTTAGAACTTAACATCTGAATCCAATTGCAGATGAACGTGAATGGAAAATAGAAAAATATTAACCGAAACACAAAACATACGGTTCACATTTTCAGGTGTAAATTCGGCTATTAAGATGAAACTATAAAATACACGAAAGATATTTTAGTTGCTCAACTTTTCACTCTGGCTTCAAATTTGTACATGTTAATCCGAAGTAAAAACATGAAAAAATATCATGGACTCGTACAACATTGTAATAGCAGTGTGAGCTCCAGCGGATTAGGAGTTTTTACCTAGCACAAGCTAACCTGCCTCTACCTACCATTCTTAAGATGCAAGAACTGCCGCTGCAAATGAGAGAATTTTGCTGCTTTTGGCACTGATTTATTATTGAGCAGAGGAACAAGCATCAAGCTTGGGTAGGAGACTTCGCCAGGCATCTGCGATACTATTAGCAAGTCGTGCCTGTCCTTTTGCAAACTCATGAAAGGCGATTCCCATGTCTAGTGTTTTTTGTTCCTGGAATCTTACAATCTCTTCGTTCATACGTTGTACAATTATCTCAAATCTTCTTGTTGCCTCCTCACTGTCTGCCTTCAACTGCGTAACAAAATCTATATTAGTGAAACACAAAAGAGCCTTCACAGGCAAATGGTAGTGAAGGTAAAGTGAAACAAGTTAAATAACTTGCCTCCTTGTACTCAATCTCTGCCTCTCCCACCTTTTCAGATCGTGTTAGCATGAGTTTGTCTCTGCAAACCAATAGATATACTAATTATATCAGCCAAATTCAAAATATAGAAATGAAATTTAAGGCATCATAGAAATCTACTTTATTGATGCAAAAAGCTAGTACTTGGTTCTAACTATTGAATTTAATGCATATTAAAATCAAAAGAGCAACATATTTACAACTGAATATGAAAAAGGTTTATCCTTGTTTGTATGTCCCTTTGCATTAAAACAGGGAAAAAAATGCTAACTGCTACCTGCCCGATGACTATTCAAGTAATATTTGTCCGATGAAACCCCCCCCCCCCCCCCCCAAGGGAAAAAAGGAACTTTTGAAGCAATGAGAGAGGGAGAGAGAGATGGTTGGCCAGAATCTTACAGATTTATCTCTTTCAACTTCATTGTTTCAGCCAGTTCGCACTGTTGCCTGAATGCGTTGGCTCTATCTCCTATTGTGGCCTGTTTTGAAACATAGAAGCAACAATATAAGACCAATGTCTCAAGCCTTGGACAACTTCCCTTACCATATTACATCATTGAAAATAAGGCTGCAGCAGGAAGCCCTGCTTCCATCAGTGAAACAACAATACCATCACTTTACTAGTTCAATGTTTCTGGTATCAATTAGCATAAGCATCTTCAGTTTTCAATACAAGGACAATCACCCATGGAACTATAGATTTCAGTTTTCAAATATTACTCATGAGAGAAAATTTTGACCCACCTTGATGGACTGAACTGCATGAACGTAATCCTTCAAAGGTTCTTCAAAATTCATCAAGAGTTGATGGGACTGAAATCAATGGAGAGACAGTAATGATGTAATTTCATGATATGAACCACTTATCCTAGAAATTTTGCAACAAAAACTGCTAAGGCAAAATTTATAGCCTTATATAAGACTTACCTCTTTCTGCAGCCTAATCGATAATGTCTCAGATTTAGCCCCAAGCTCTGAAAATGCCTTTCCAAGAGCATCTCCTTCACAAGAACTGAGAAGTTTTGCAGCCTTCCCAAAATCTGAAAGGGATTGTCCCAACTCTGTGGACAAAGAAGTAAACAGAAACATGTTTATGCATCTGGATCAAATGCAAAAGGAGGCAAGTAGTTCAAAGATTTTAGGCAAAAAGTCAAACAAAACCTTCATAATCTCAATTACCTCTGTGTCTCTTAACAAGACGATATGCATGCTTCTGAGCTTCAGCCAAGTGGTTTTCAAGCTCAAAGATGTAGTGTTTAAGCTTCTCATATTCAGGATTAGATTCTTCTACTGGTTTTTCCTTTCCAAGAACAACATCGCTCACTTTCGATTGTACATCCTGTTAAAATTTCTACACAAGTTATTTCCAGGAAATAAAAAATCATCCTGTCTGAAGGACTTCATAATAGTTTGAGTAGCATCTAACACATTGAGGAAAATATACTGTATATAAGAAAATCCATAGACTGCATGGTGAAATTTAGATCATTTTTATCCTCTGTTGCTGGTAGGTCATGCAGTAACTGTACTTTACTAATAGAATCCACATCATACAATTCAAGCCTTAGAAACTATCTTAGATAGAATAAAATCATTCACATTTAAGATGTCAAACAACATATCAAGGCAACATGAAAATTCTCCAGGTGCTGCAGGTGACAAGTAGCTAAGTAGCCAGCGACCTTGGTTAGCGAGATAGATTCATGACAGATTTTAATTTTTGATTTTTTCCATCACTACAATCTAAGGAAATAAAATTTGATAGATCAGCATCACCCATTATGACTTCCCTTCAATTTTATCCAGTAGGTAAGAATTAAGCCAGGTCCATAGACACCTCATGAGACATCAACGCTGCATTCCTACACTAAGAGGCCATTCTATTGACATCATCAATATCATGTTGGATTTTTTCCTTTTTTTCCCACCTTGAAGATTTGCATCAAGTCTGCTGGCTTCTTTTTGAAAATACCAGTCTCATAAGATCGCAGCCTCTCCATTGTCTGAAAAATAGTTAATAAACTAGTATAAAATACCAAAAGAAAGATCAAGGGAATCTGGAATAGTATCAAGTTCAGTAGATTAGATTTGCATCCACCTAATTGTCTGTAAACAAGATTATAAGCAAGCAAGACAAGGTATTTAGACAGTGCTTAGATAATCAAAATCACAATGCTTCTTCAAGAACTTTATGGAAAGATAAGACAATCATCTTCATTTATATGTCCAGGCACACATCTAATGACATGCAGGAACAATCAGTCAGACAATGTATGATTGCCAACTATAAGGGAACAATTCAATGATTTTTCATTTGATTACTTAAACAAAAAATTTTATGCAAGGAAATCATTCTTGATGTATCACCTCTTCATCTGCCTGCAAAAAGGTTCTAAGATCCTCACTTTGCTGAAGCTCGTGATGAGAAGCAATCCGATTGACAAATGTGTTCAAGCCTTGACGTCTCATCTCAATAAACTCAGCACTGAACCGAAACTTCTCTGCATTAGAAAGAGTGAAATATTCATAGGACTTTGGTTTTTATTTTTTTAAGTGCAAGCTCAACAAGTTTAATAATCAGAAACAAATGCATAAGAGTATCATATGGGCCCTGCACATCATAAACAGATTGCATGACTGCAAATGAATAGTAGAAGACAAAAACAGTCAAAGTATGGATGCTAACATCTAAAACCTGAAGCATGATAACATCAAAATCCACAGTTCTACAAATGGTGCAGAAAAAAATGGTCAAAGTATGGATCATGGATTGTAAGTTCCTAACATTTAAAACCTGAAGGATAGGTGAAAAAAAGAGACAAAAAAAAAAATGTATTAGAAAAAAATCGAGAAGAGAAAGATACTTTGATTGCAATGAGTCTTTCAGCTCTAGTAAGATGTGAGTTGGAAACTAATATAGATGCAGTAAAAGGGAAGGTCATACAGGATCACAGGAAGTTTACATGTGAAGTACAAACAACTAGGTTTGTCCCTTTCAATCATCACAGCCATATTATCATCATACTCATAACTTTAACACGAGGAAGCTTATCATGTTCACTTCTTACCAACAGCACTCTTCTCTGGAAGCGGAGGAATGAAGATGCCTTTGTATTTCTCAAAAAGCCGATCACGTAACCAGACAAAGTCACTGTAGCGCCTGATAACAATCTTCTCTGGCCCTTGGTATTCAAGGAAATTTGTCTACCAAACCAGTAAATCCCAAAATATTAAATGCCACAAAAAACACAGAATAGCCCCAAGTATCAAAAAGACAAAGAAACAAATCCACAATTTTTTGCCCAGACAAAGGTACAAAGGAATTCAATAACATGCTTCCTAGCTGGAATAAGTAATAAAATCTTAAAACATCATACTTTAACACTTCTTATGTCATGAGTTCGGTCACTGAGGCGAAATTTATCCAAATTCAAATTCATAGCCGGCAGTTAACAAGTCATCCGGCAGAAAACTAGCACATAACGTCTGAAATGCAAAATCACAGCATGAAGAAGAATTCCATCTTTTCGCTAATCAAATTCGTAATTGTCTAAGTTATCGCATTCAATCCAATTTTCACCTAAGAAAGAGCTACAAAATCAAATAGCAGCATGTCAAAACTACCAGAGATTCAAAATCAATAGAATTTTTACTTATTTCTTCATTTCTTTATCAACAACCAGTTCAGAGAAGCAAAGCAACAACCAGAGTCCGACGCAGTCAATTAAGAGCGAAACCAAACGCCGAGAAAGAGAGACGAAAGGTAAGCTACCTTGGTGATAACACGATACGATATGTAAGCCTGTACGCCATTGCCTAATTTGACAGGATCCGTCACCGACACCGAGAGGAACGGCTGCGACGACGGAGATCTAGGGCTGAGCGACGCCCCCGAGACGCTTCGAGGCTGCTCCATTTGACGTAAACAACCGGAAAAGTAAAACAAAGAAAAGATCAATAATAATAATAATAACTGAAAAGTGAAAACAAAGCAGTTTATTGAAGGAACTGTGCGTGGCAGATTCGTAATTACCGTGGAAATCATGGCGGATTTAACTTGGGACTGATGGAGAAGACGGATTAGATTTGCGCAGACTCACGGATATTGGTCTTTAGATTTAGCGTGGGGTTAACACTAAAAGAAGCTGGGGTGCGCAGTGCGCTTTGCCGGTAGATGGCCTGAGTTGCGTGGAATGACAGCCGGGAACTGTATTTCCTTAACTCCTTGCTTCTTCGTCAACCCGTAACAGAATCGGCTCGAAGTTTTCGACTCACACGTGCTACGCGTGCGACTTCGATTTTTATCTCTTTCACGCTAAACTATATGATAGGAGGTTTTCTTTCTTTTTCTTTTTCTTTTTTTAAATAATAATTTTTTTTTTTATTTTTATCGACACTATAATTATATTAACATACAAAAATCTTTTGATATTTTTCCTTATTTTTTATTTTTTATTTTATTTAAAAATTAAATTTTTAATTTTTAATTAATTATATAACGACATATAATACTATAAGTAGAGACATAACATTAAATTAATATAACATGATAAGAGTAAATTTTTAAATAAAAAAATTAATTATATGATAATATATTATATTTAAGTTCTAATATTTTGTAGTATTATAATTATAACATTTCATTTTCAAGGTTATTTTAAGATCATTTTATTTGTAATTCAAAATTAATTTCTGTGAAATAATTTGAAGAGTATATGTATATATGAAATTATTATATTTAAAAATTGCAAAATTTACGTATTTCAGATAAAAAATTTTAAAATTTTCTTAATACTAACCCACAGTTTCGGCTTTAATTTACAAGAAAAATACTTATAAATTAAAATTTAGTAATTTTTTAAAGAAAAAAAAAGTAAAAATAAGATATTTTCACCTTTACTATATATGAAATTATTCAAATACTTTTAATAAATATTCTTTACATGTTAATTGATTTATGACATTAAAGTTTTTTTATCATCTTCTTTAACATTTTAATGATCACAACTACATGACCTTTCACAATTTTATTTTTAAATGATTTTAGTCTGTTATATAGTCTTTCTTTTGAAAAAATAGAAAGTATATGCTAGTTAGATTCGTCTAATTAAAATTTTTAATTTTATTGAAGAGTTTTTTTAATCAATGTTTTTATAGTATGATAAATACACATTTTTATTTTAAATTTATATTAAAAAAATTAATTTTTAATTTATCAATTATACAATTAATTTATACACTTATAGGAGTATTTTTTTCCTTTTACATTGAAAGTTAACTTCTTAATATTAAAAGGTTTTGAATGTCTAACTTTAATTCTGCATAACAAAATTTATCAACTAAATTCGTAAAAGAATTAGGTAAAAGACCAGTTTAAATTATATTATTTTAATAAATTTTTATTAAAAACATTAAAATAATTTACTTTTTAAAATAAAAATAATATTATTGTAGCACTTTTATATTATTTATTAAAATAAGATAAATTTAAAATATTTTTATTTAATTTTGTAAAGTTTGGTTAATAAATAGTAATATTTTAATTTTTAATTATAATTTTTAATTAGTAAATATCAATTTAACATGTTCCTTATTTTACTTTCTCTTCATTAAACAATTTTTTTCTCAATAAATAAATAAAGAGATAAATTTTTATACAGTAGATTTTTAAATCTAAAAATAAATCGCATGTTTTAACTTTAATGATGTAAGAGCAATTTTTCCGTTTAATATATTTGTTATCATGGAAGTTGGAACAACCATGGTCTATAAGCATGAAGTGCGTGTTTGATTTAAACGAAATGGAAATGAGGGAAACTCGAAAAGAAAGGGGATAAGCTCCCTCCATTTACTCTTATTATTATTTTTTTACTTTCATTTCCTTTATGTATTTTATATATCCAAATGAGGGCAATAATAAAGATATCCTTTCATTTTTGTTTACTTTAATTTGAGAAAAGAGAGAAGGGGATGAAGGGGGAGGGTGTTGGGAAAGTTTTACGTGTACTTTGTTAATTGTATTTGAAATTTCAAATTGGATTAAATAGAAAATTGGTAAATTTTAATAAAATTATGTGATTTAAGTGAATTTAAATTTTATTTTAGCTTTATATAATATAATATGAATAAATATGAGATTTAGAATAAAAAGCGAATTATTGATAAATGTGTCTAAAAAATTATTATAATAAACTAAGTTTTTTTTACTATTTAAAAAATTCTATCACTATAAATAATAGAATTAGGAAAAAAAACATAACTTGCCATCAGTTGCAACCATGTAAAAGTTTAATGAGTGAAAGATTTAAGTTTCAATATTAATTATATTTATTTTACACGTTTTACATGAGATTTAAATTATAATAATTTTAAATAATCTTTAGTAATATTCTTATCTTATAAATTGATTATGATAATTAAGAAAAATAAGCTACATGCTATTAACTTCATATATTATATATTATGATTTAAATGATTTAGTATTTTAAAATTTAATTTATAAAATTAATTATTGAAATAAATTATAACTTAAGAAAATTGAGGGACACGAGAACCTTTTATTTTCCAGTGCTCCCCTCATTTAGATTAAAAAAGATAATTAAAAACAGAAAAATAAGTTAAGCAAAACCAAATTGCGCTAAGAGATTTGTTTTAATGGGTGGAAATTTATGGCATTGCTTACAAGTCATGGTTGTCATTGACTCTAAGCAAACGAGAGATTCTTCCTCATTCCAATGATTGTTTCTAATAAGCTGCTTTTGGTCAGGTTAACCTTCTTTTTTTTTTTTTTGGAAAAGCTGGTCAGGTTAACTGATCCATCATGCTTTGTGAATAGGAAAATAATTAGTACGCTTAATATTTTAATATTTTTTTATTTGATAATTAAAAATATAATATAAATATAATTAATTCAGTCAATTTTTATATTTTATGTATATAATTATATAATTATATTTATTTATTTTTAATTTTAAACTAAAAAATAATAATTCTTTAATGATTGAATAGAAGAATATTGAATTAGGTATTAAAATATTAAATGTATCAATCACTATACTTGTAAATAACATAATTGATTGCATACTTTCGTACATTAATTAACTTGCAACTCAACCAAACCGTTGATTGAGTTGCAAAAGAAAAGAAGTTGCCATTGGATCAATTAGAACATGGCACATGGTTTTAGACATTAATCTATGCTAAACTCCAACTCTTCCATCACTCAAATCACAAAAGGACTAGTGTTTGGTTTAAATAACTTTCATGAAAAATTAAGGAATTTCATTTTCAATTCCACACTCCTGTGTTTGTTTTCATTAAAAATTGTTAATATACTTATCTTTGGTTTGATTAAAAAGGAATAATTTAATAGATTGAATTTATATCAAATAATATTTTTATGATATTTTTTAAGCTTGATTTTGTCCAATTCATATCAAACTCTACTTTTGTTATAATGAAAATGATTGATTGACAAATAAATAAATACATATTAATTTGTACATCTTACTTGAACAAAAAACTATCATACATAAAACACATATTAATTCACATATTCTGCATGAATTAAACATTCAATATAATTTAGGTTAAGTTAGAAGGTTTGTTTA